ATATCATACAAACCGCCTTGTCTACCCTACAAGGTTCCATCCAAAAAAGGTGCCGGAACTCCATTTTGGGCATTCTATGAGAAAAAAAGCCCTGGATAAGATTAACACATTTTTCAGCAAGAAACCCACTTTGAGCCCTATAGATTTACTCTGAGTTATTGCAAAAATTGAAGCAAATGACACTGAAGTGAAGGAACTCTGCGCACATTTCTATGTGTGGAGCAGAAGTCAATAGTCTATGCCCATGGGAACTTTTGGTGGTAGCCAAGATAACCCAACCCAATTGCTGCTAATGCATTTTATTGAAAAAGGCTGTTTTTTTCCAAATCATGCCAGTAATTCTGTAAAGAGATTTCAGGACTAAAATATGAAAAGAGAACACAACTATCTTTTTCATATTATAATAAAAAAATAATTCCTCTTGCCACAAAACACAGGAGATAAGCAGTTACCTTCTAGAATATAGTTGCATTGCAGCTATGAAATGCTCAGCATCTTTACAATTGACATTTAAGTCTGGGGAAATCTTCCTGGGGAGAAAGATAATAAGAAAAGGAGTAAGACTAAGAATATGACTGAGAAGGATAATGAAATTTTAGTTAGACTTACAGGTTTTCAGATAGTGAAGAACGTTAAATATTTGGGAGTATATATAACCACTTCTAATGGGAAATTATATAAGAATAATTATGAAATATCATGGACAAAAGTAAAAAAGGATTTAAATGATTGGAACAAATTGCAACTGTTGTTGTTGGGGAGAATTTCAGCTGTTAAAATGAATGTTCTACCAAAGTTTCTTTTCTTGTTTCAAATGATACCCATTTTTTTTTAAAAAAAGATGTTAATTTGGATGAGTGGCAGAAGGGTATCAATAAATTTATATGGGCTGGGAAGAAACCAAGGGTGAAGTTTAAGATTTTGCAAGATGCTCGAGAAAGAGGAGGGCTTAAAGCGCCTAATTTGAAATTATATTATGATGCAGCCACATTAACTTTGATAAGTGATTGGCTTAACTTAACAAATAAAAATATTCTTTCTCTTGAAGGGTGGGATTTATTATATGGTTGGCATGCATATTTAATTTTTAATAAGAAAGTAGATTGGGCTTTTAAATCGCATATTTTAAGAAGTGCCCTACTTCGAGTCTGGAAGAAATATTATTATAGGTTAAATTATAAAATACCTATTTGGGGGATTCCTGGACATGCAATTGAGGGGATCTCTAAGGGGATGAATTTTGAAAAAAATTCATATAAAGAATTACTTATTTGTTTGGGTAATGACTGGCAATTAAAATGTTTAGATGTATTAAGGCAAGAAAATATTTTACAGTCATGGTTTCAGTATTTACAAATAGTGGATAGGTGGACTTTAGATAAGAAAGTTGGAATAACATTAGGAGATGAAAATTTGGTTATTCAGATTAAAGATGAGAATAAGGCTCACATAAAAAGAATTTATAATGTGTTAATAGAATTGGATTCGGAAACGGAATTGGTTAAAGATTGTATGGTTAAATGGGCTCAGAATATCCAGGAACCGATCCCATTGGATTTATGGGAGATAGTTTGGATTAGAAATGTTAAATTTACACAGGCTCAAAATTTAAGGGAAAACTTTTATAAAATGCTTTATAGGTGGCATTTGGATCCTAAAAAGTTGTCTTGTATGTACTCTAAATTACAGCCCAAATGTTGGAGATGTGGTAGTTCTGATGCAACTTGTTTTCATGTTTGGTGGACTTGTAAAAATATTAAGGCTTTTTGGATTATGATTTGGTGGAACATTCAAATTATTTTTAAAAGGAAGATAAAGTTTACTTCTCAACTATTTTTATTAGGGATTTTTGAGGATTTTGATGTCAAAGAAACTATTTTAATATTGAATTTAATTACAGCAGCAAGGCTATTGATAGGTCAATATTGGAAGAAAGATTCGTTGCTTACAATAGAAGAATGGACACTTAAGGTTTCTAATTTAGCAGAAATGGCTAAAATTTCTGCTTATTTAAAGGATCATACACAAGAAAGATATATTATGGTATGGAGAAGATGGATAGATTATATTCAGATTAAATATAGAACTAAAAATTTCCATTTATTCTATGATTAAATTTTAATATAATAAATATTATTAATAATATTTTATAATTGGAATTATTTAGTTTATTTACTATTATTATGGTTTTTTATAATAATTGTTTAAAAAGGGATTTGTTTATAATATGTTATTAAGGTTTAGGGAGTTACGGGTTAAGTACGAATTTAGTTGTTGTATAAATTGTTACATTTAATTAGATTATGTTTAACCTATTTGTTAAATTTAATTAGATTATGTTTAATATGTTTGTAATAACCCTGTACTCAGCTCTGGGAAGTGGGGGGGGGTAGGAGGGTGGGGATGGGTGGGTTAGTGGGTTTATTCTGTTAATTGTTAATAAAACTTTTTAAATTAAAAAGAAAAAAGAAAAGGAGTAAGTTGATGCTGCAATTCCTCCTGGAATTCAGAAGAATGGACACCAATACGGAATACATCCTTCCCAACTAATGATATGTACAGTTTAGATATATCCAAAGGGGTTTGTTCAGTGGTGGGATTCAGCTGGTTCGCACCTGTTCAGCAGAACCAGTAGCTATTTTTTTGTTGCCCAGGCCCAGAATGGACTTCTGGAAGCAGCATCACACAGAGAATCAGTTGTTCACATATTTGAATCCCACCACTGGGTTTGTTTGTTTTTCTTAAAGCAGCAACATTTCAAATAATATTAAAAGTCTACATAAAATGTTAATGTATCAAGAATGTATCAATAATATACTGTATAACAGGATGAACTCATTTTTTTGCCAAATAAGAATGAAACCTTAAACTGATGGGGAGGTGGAGAACATGCTTCAAGAACTCAATATCGTATCTGTTTGACAATGGCATACTTTAATCCTGTTTAATAACATACTTTGTAGCAATAGCTGCCTGGTTTTATTAATATAACTATAAATATAAAAGAAGTCCTAACCCATATGACATCTTAGTGTGGTCTGTCCTGTTGGGCTGACATCAGTCTTGCAAGTCTGAATGTCCTTCTCCCTCCCACACTTTATCTTTCTGTGAACAAGGGAGTGGCTTGGCTATCATAAATTTTGGAAACCCATTATGAATTTTTAGATTTGTAAATGGAAGAGGAGAATTATAGGAAGAAGTGGATTTTATAGGGGGTGGGGAAATACCAAATAAATTTATACATGTCAAGAAGATTTGGAGTCACTTTTTAAAAATATTCTGGTTTTTATTTCTTTTCATTTTCCTTTCTTTCTCTTTTTGAACTTTTTATTTTTTACCTTTCTATTTTCTTTATTCTTTTTGGCATTAATTTGTATTATCTTTTGCTGCAGTATTCAAATCTTTAATAAAAGATTTTTTTTAAAAAAAAGAATAGTAATTAAAAGATTAAATAATATAAAGATGAGGAATTGCATTTTATAGGAATAGAAAATTGTGGCCCAGTCATAAAGTATAGTCTTCCATAAGATCATCTACACTACATCTTTCTTTCTTTTTTTATCTCTCTCTCTAAACACCACAGCCCCTTTCCTGAAAGCTATGTTGTTTTTAGTTAAAGGATCCCAGCTCTTTTCTCAGGTTGGGAATAGCATTCACTTCCATCAATAGCCAAGCAAATATTCAATTAACAAAAGCCTTTCTATTTAAACATGGAATGTTATTACCTTGCCACTGAAGTGTCATCTATTTATCTACTCTCATTTGCATGCTTTTGAACTTCTAGATGGGCAGGAGCTGGGGCTAGTAATAGCTCTCACCCTGTTGTGAGGTGCTGAGGTCCTGGGTCTGGAATCTGGCTATCAGCTTTCCAATTTATAAGCTCAGTGTCTTTAACTGCTGAGCCATTGCAGACCCAAATATCTTCAGACAACGTTGACTCCCTTGGCTAAGAAACAGAGATAAGCACTGCCCCCTAGAGTCAGACACAACCTTTACCTTTAGAATGTTTTAAATTTTTTAGTCACGTACTAAAAAGTAGGGAGTTTGTGTCTATTATGAAGACAAATTAGATATGATATAACATCTTCTGGTGAAGTTAATTTTACTATATCAGAATTATAAATTCTCAGTGGCTAAATTATGGTTTTGTTCCCTAATGCTGTTCTTGCATCAGAGCTCTAATATTCACAGTGAGTTCAGACATTTTATAAGGTGGTTTATTGCTGAAAATATATTCACAAATAAACTAAGAAATAGGTGTGAAAATGCAATGAAAAATTCAGGTTCAGTTTATCAGTCTATCCATTCATCGGTGTATGGGATTATCTACATATATATGATGTGACACTTTTTAAAAGTACCAGTATTTCCATATACTTATGGAAAAGACCATCTGAAGATTAAGCAGACCTTCAAAATGTTAACCAAAATACCATGAAAATTACATATACATAGCTGTCACTTTTCATGGTATTTTGGTTAAAAATATGATCAGCTAATCTGATGATGTGCTTATATGTGAATATATATGGTAATCTTCTATTCATTAACCCCTTGATCTCTCTCATCCTTCAAGCACCTTCTACAGGCATTAATGTTCTTCCATATTAAAAGTTTGTTTTAACACCCACTTTTCCCATTGTTGCTCATTTCATTATCCCAACCTATACTGTTGGTATTAACTTACAACATTTTTTTTTTAAAAAAATGCATATACCAGAAGGTGTTCCCCAGGCCTTGGAAAACATACATTTAGGAAGATGTGTCAAACTTAGGACAAGTTAGAATATTAAGATTTACTCATACATTGAAATGTATATAAGTTTCCTTGGCATAAGCAAAGAAATAATTTCCTACTGCTTTCTTTTGGATTTGTACCCTATCAGCCATGATTTTTTTTCTACTTTCATCCCCAAGTACTAACCAGTTCTATTCATGCTGAGCTGCATTATTATTATTATTTTTAAAAAAGAGAGATACATAATTTGGTGGGACACATTTTTATTGGAGAAAGAACATTCAGGGATTTTGTGTGAGGAAAACATGTAAGCAGACTACTTTTTTCATTCAGAGTAAAGAGATTCCAACTGGCAGAACAGTCTAGAAATCTTAACAAGATTAACCAAATCTTCACAATTTTTTTCACAAGATAGATCTTATCTTTTCACAAACCTATTTATTTCCAGATATATAGCAAAAGAAGAAAGTGTAGAAAAATCTTTAAGTAGCATTTTATGATTACTATTTTGTTAAAATCTTAAAGAAGAAACAAATTAAACTAATTTAAATTCCTGAGTTATATAGCTGTGTATCTGCATCTATATTAAAAAATAGCAAATGTTTTGGTGGAGATCTATGGCTTTATATCAGCTGGCACAAATAAAGGCCAGAAGGATTCTCACATTGCAAGTATAATTATCCTCCCATCTTAGTTAGTGGGGACTTTGGAGAGATATGGAAATCATTCTGTATATTTTCCTCCTAGTTAGACCTAGAAGAGCTATGGTGTTCAGAGTAAACTGCAACAGATGATTTTTCATGGGTTAAAAATGGGGTTATATTTTCCAAACAGTTTCACCAAAGCAGATTTGATCTCTTTGTTTTTGAGACTATATATGATGGGATTCAACATTGGTGTTAAGATGCTATACTGAATAGAGATCACTTTGTCCAAATCCATGAGTGATTCTAAATTTGGCTTTGTATAGCGGATAAAACCTGTAGTATAAAATAAGCCCACCACAATGAGATGGGAACTGCAGGTAGAAAATGCTTTTTGTCTGCTTTCTGCTGAATTAATTTTCAGGATGGCTGAAATGATGTATATGTAAGACACCAGGGTGAAAAGAAATGAACTCAAACCAAATATAAAAATAGAGATAAGAAGAACAATATAATTGATGAGATTCTTCTTACAAGACAAGGCCAAAAGTGAAGGAAGTTCACAGCTATAATGTCTGATGGTATTGTCACTACAAAAATGCAGATTTAACAAAGGCAGTGCATTTACCATACCATACAAGAAACCCATGCCCCAGGACACACCCACTAACTGTCTACAGGTTTCTTTTGTCATATTTATGGTATAATGTAGTGGGTCACATATAGCAACATATCGATCATAAGCCATTGCTGAGAGGATGAATACTTCTGCACAAACAGTTTGAAAAAGGAAGAAATTCTGTGCAATGCATCCTTCCCAAGAAATTGTTTTCTTCTTTGTTATGAGGTTTCCTAACAATTTTGGGACAGTAACTGATGAATAGCAGATGTCAACAAAAGCTAAATGTTTGAGAAAAAAGAACATGGGAATCTGCAGGGTAAACTCAATCCTGGTCACCAGTATAATCACCATGTTGCCCAATAATGTTATTAAAAAGATTATTAGAAACAAGACAAAAAGAAAATCTTGTAGATGAGGATCTTTTGAGAGTCCCAAGAGTATGAACTCTTTTATTTCAGTTTGATTTTCCATCTCAGATTATTCAAGAAAAATAAGATCTGTCCAAAAGAAAATCAAATTGATATTGTTTAATATAGGATGCACATAATCACTGCAAATTTTAAAAAAACCAAACAAACAAAAATGTAAGCATCTATCTCTTTAAGTTATAAATAAATATTCCAGGGCACAATGAAGAATAGATTACAAATGTGTTTGTTTGTTTATCTGTTTGTTTGTTTAAGAAAAAAAAAAGAATGAAACCACTTAACAAAGGGTTAACCTATTAGCAAAGGGATAGTTTACTGGATTCTTTTTTATGTGTTTTAACTGGTTTTTCACAGTTTTCAATTCTCCTATTAGTATGTTTAATTGAGACAAAAATTAATTAAGGAATTAATATATTCTGGGAAACTATATTTTTTAGAAACATTCCAAATGTTGATGGATAATCTTCTGTGTAATATATTTTATTTGGTTTAAAAATCACTCAAAGGCAGCAAATAATTCAGAATCCAGAATATATGCTCATTATCTCAGTAACAGCCAACTAGGGAAACACCTTACACCTATACTATAGGCTTTATAGTATTAAAGTATTTAAAATGTAAATAAAATAATAAATCAGGAAAAATGCAAATCCTGACCTTCTTACAAGAATTACAATTCTAAGAAAATTGTACAATTCCAGAGTGAGTTTATTTTTAATAGACTTGGATCATTGATACTGTCATAAAAACACTTACTGAAAGTTATTTTCCAAAATGATTTTTGATGTTTGTCCAGTAATGTAGAATGCTGTTGTCATTTCATTTAATAGATAGAAATAAAGTCAGTTCATCCCCAAAGTTTATGATATCACAATTAATATTGATTTCCATTTTCAAAACTACATCTTTTTATCACAAGGAAGTAATTGCTTTTGTTTTTTTCTTCCAAGCTGTAGAAAATATTTTGAAATATAATAACCATTTTTGTGGACCATCTATTCATATCTGGACAAACTACTTCATGATTTGGAGAGAAACAGTAAAAAAGGTTTGAACATAATGTGCATTCTTTAGAGCAATGTAGATTTGAGCTTCTTTAGGTCACTGAAGAATTTTGCCTTAAGTAAAAATGATTTTTAATATTTCTATCTGAGCAAATCCTCTCAAAAATTATTTGGAAGCTGAGAGAACTTGGAAAAACTGCAGAAATACATTTTAACACCCTTTTAAAGAGTATCTATATTTACTTCTATATTTTTATCTACAGTATATTTGCATCTACCTAGATAGAAATCTTATATTCTCATTTATCCTTTCCATGCACATGAAAGACAAATGAAGACAAAATATATTGAATATTAATCAATAGGATGAAGTACACCAGCCAAAAGACAAGTGGTGCAATTTGTAACAATTTTACAAAATCTGAAACAACTAACTATGCAAAGGAGCTTAAAATAACACAAACAAAGAACCACCTAACTGAGAATTGATTGGAAAAATATTTCAAGTAGAACAGTAATTTTAGAGTATTTTTTTCTAATGGGTTCTAGGGAAAAATATTCTCATTAAAATGTGAAAATATAAAGGGATGAAACTCACTCATATTTCAATCTTGATATATTTTGTTTCAAAGATACAAATACAGGTGCATCTTTTAAATGATGTAGTCTTTATAAGAATACAGGAATTTTTTTCTTTTGTTTTTTTGAGTTCTTTTTTAAGTTAAAAGATGAAATCATTTCTACTACGACTCTTGAACTTATATCTCTTCATTCTATCTAATTTCCTTCGGGAATGCATTTACAAACCAAGCCAGTTGAGAATTTCTTCTCCACAAAGTAGCATAAGTACCTTATAAGTATTATGACTTAATTTATAATAATATATTTGCCATATATTAATATGCATATTTTTGAATACAAATTTATTAAATATATGTAGTCAGGCATATAGAATAGAATAGAATAGAATAGAATAGAATAGAATAGAATAGAATAGAATAGAATAGAATAGAAAGAGTTGGAAGGGATCTTGGAGGTCTTCTAGTCCAATCCCCTGCTCAGGCAGGAAACCCTACACCATTTCGGACAAATGGCTGGCCAGTTTTTTCTTAAACACTTCCAGTGTTGGATCATTTATCACTTCTGGAGGCAGGTTGTTCCATTCGTTATTTGTTCTAACTGTCAGGAAGTTTCCCCTTAGTTCTAGGTTGCTTCTCTCGATTAGTTTTCATCTGTTGCTTCTTGTCCAGCCCTCAGGCGCTTTGGAGAATAGCTTGACTGCCTCTTCTTTATGGCAACCCCTGAGATATTGGAACACTGCTATCATGTCACCCCTCGTCCTTCTATTCATTAAGATAGACATACCCAATTCCAACAACCGTTCCTTATATGTTTTAGCCTCCAGTCTCCTAATCATTTTTGTTGCTCTTCTCTGTACTCTTTCTAGAGTCTCAACATCTTTCATGGTGACCAAAACTGGATGCAGTATTTGAAGAGTGGCCTTACCAAGGCATTGTAAAGTGATATTAACACTTCACATGATCTTGATTCTATCCCTCTGTTAATGCAGTCTAGAACTGTGTTGGGTTTTTGGAGCTGCAGCATACTGCTGGCTCATATTTAAGTGATTGTCCACTAGGGCTCCAAGATCCTCTCACAGTTACTACTACTGAACAAGGTACCACCTATACTGTACCTGTGCATTTGATTTTTCTTGCCTAAATGTGGAACCTTATTTTTTTCATCATTAAATTTTTAAATTGTATGCAAAGTAAATAGTATGATTACTTCATTTGAGTGTGTCTAGGGACATTTAAAAATCAGGAACCTTGAACTTTGGGTTCATTGTGCAAAACATAGATTAGATTAACCCTATCTATGGTAAGGAATAGGTGTTTAGGAATTAAATAGATGTTCTTTAAGGCATGGGTGTTTTTTATTTTTGTTTTATTTTCCCATTTTTTAAAATATAGTTTCCCATTAAGTTTTCTTTCTTTTTCATTCTTTCTTTAAATTATGAAGAATTTATGTGCTTTTCATTGTTCAGTCATAGCAATAGCACTTAAACTTATATATTGCTTCACAGTGCTTTACAGCCTAATCTCTAAATAGTTTACGGAGTCAGCATATTGTCCCCAACATTCTGGGTCCTCATTTTATGGACCTCAGAAGGATGAAAGGCTGAGTCAACCTTGAGTTGGTAAGACTTAAATGGGAGAACTGCTGGCAGCCCACAATCAGCAGCAGTAGCTTGCAGTACTGCATTCTACAACTGTTCCACCATGGCTCATAAGGAGAAGCTCACAGGAGAAATGAGTATAACTGTAAACTGTGTTAATTGTTGGCAAGGAATTTTCATGTGGGAATATTGCCCCTTCTGAGATACCTTTTTTTTAAGATTGTGGAATGTATGATACCTTTGTATAGAATGGATAATAATATGTCAAGGATAAATCAGCCAATATGTTGGTTTGGAAAAGAACATTGGACTTGATTTTGTTCACTTAACAGAAATATAAATAAATGGGCTTAGAGTTGGGGATATCATCCAGTCCCTACCTTAATGTTTATTTCAAATGGTAAGGTAAGTGCAATCCTTCTGGTCGTTTCCTGCAAGAACATTCAAGTAAATTCTTCTGCCTTGAAAAATATTCCTGATTATTTCTTGAACAGTGAGCAATTCTAAACCTAAGTACATTTCCATTTTATTGATGGCTACAATTGATTAATAGGAAAATGCTAATGATTCAAAAAATCTGTACCTCTCAAATATTAATGGAATGCCAATATATGTCACTTTTTAAAATAAAAATGTTCTATATTCATATAGCAACGTTTATATCGATTCATTGGATGAGACTAGTACAGACTCCCAAAACTTTACAGAACTTTCTAGGGCATGTTCCAATTCAGCTGATCAACTGAACTTTGGACACTTTGGAAATAATGTAGTAGTCATGATAGCTAAAGTAACACTCAGAGAATTTATTCCTTTTTTTTAATTTTAGGAACCTCAATGAGCTTTAAGAAAATTCCAAGTTTTCCAAGAATACAACTTGATAACTACCTCAGGAATAGACTACATTAGGTAGACTTAGAGCTTAAAGTCAACATGTTCTCAAATTTTATTAGTTTTAACTTTGCATCTTAAGACATCTTCCCACAAATTATTCATGATTGTGTGTGTGTGTGTACATGTGTGCATGTAAAAGGGAGCCAAACTTTTAATCAAAACCTTAATTGAATGAAATGAGAGTTGAAAATAGAAATGTTTAATATCATCTAAGCTAAGCCATAATTTGCCTTATATCTTTATATATATTTGTATATACATTTGTTTTATAGATGAGTAAATAAAAATGGAGAATCAAACTGATTCATTCGTCTTCCTTTTCCTTGGACTTTCAGGTGATCCTCAACTACAGATTTTCCTTTTCTTGATCTTTTCAATATTTTTTCTAATTACACTGTTAGGAAACATCACAATAATTTTGATCATTAGAATGGATCCTTCTCTCTCCACACCCATGTATTATTTCCTCACCCATTTGTCCTTTGTTGATATCTGTTACTCTACTGATATTGTCCCTAAGATGTTAACGAACTTTCTTATGAAACAAAAGACAATTTCCTTCACTGGTTGTATTAGCCAAATGTTTTTCAGTTTTCTACTAAGTGTTACAGATGTTTTTCTACTTTCAGCAATGGCATATGACAGATACATTGCTGTTTGTTACCCACTTCATTATATAATGATCATGAATAAAGTAATATGTACTTACCTGGTTACAGGAGCATGGCTAATGGGTTTATTATCTGCAACTATAAACACATTTCCCATATTTGGCTTAAAGTTTTGTGGCCTTCGAGAAATTAATCACTTCAGATGTGAACTTCCATCACTATTGAAAGTATCTTGTTCTGATACTTTTCTTAATAATGAGATTCTTTTATTTTCTGTATTGGTTTTTGGACTTGGTTCCTTCTTACCAACTTTGATCTCCTACATTCACATCATGACTAGCATCATGAAGATCCATTCTGCAGAGAGCAGAAGAAAAACTTTCTCCACCTGTAGCTCTCATCTCACTGTGTTGGGTTTGCTATACATCACTGGAATGTCTCAGTACATGAAACCTAGCAGTGTATCTTCCATTACACTGGATGAGCTTTTCTCTATTCAGTACAGCATTTTGACCCCCATGCTGAACCCAATTATCTATAGTCTGAAAAATGAGGAAGTGAAGAAGGCACTTAGAAGAATATTTACAAAAAAGCAAATGCTAGATTATCCTTAAAATGCATAGCTCAAAAAGTGAATTTCTCTTTCTCTGGCTCTTTTCTGCTCCATTCTTCTCCTGAACAAGCAACCCTGAAATTTCTTCTCATTGCATGGGGACTCTATCATATTGAAAAATTTTGTCCTTTCTTAATTTCTATTTGTTAATACATTGTACTTTATTTAACTTGTATTATTTTATACAATACAAATTATTAAAATAATAGCAAATTTCAGTTTTTAACCACAGTAATTAACAACTCAAAATCACTAGGATATAATAACTTGGATTGAAGCAGATACTCATCTTGCTGTTATAAACAAAATTTTTTATGACAATTTCAAAGTTTACTTACACATTTACTATAGAAAAGGTGCTTAGACAATGTGTTTTTGAGAATATTGACCTTGAATGACTTTAAATTAAACTTTGATATAGAGAAGTTATGTTCCGCACCAGTGACTGAGAATTGATAACATTCAATATAATATGACAGCTGTAGAAGTATTCAGAAATGTGTCTAGTGTATTATTGCTGTGAAAATATTGTACTGCTTGAACAGAAGTCAGGACAGCTTTTAGAGAACAAATTAAAGCTTAGAGTTCCTCATGCATCAATGTACCATCAACATCACAACATCATCAACTTGTGAATTTTCTATCAATTTCAATTGTAAATGTTTACATATCTGCAGTAATTCACATTCATTCCAACTCTAAATATTCCACGTGATCTAGGATACTGAAAAAGCTATATCAATATAATATTATAAATCAGGGGTCCCCAACCCCCTGTACGTAGACTAGTACCGGGCCGCAGCATGCCAGCAACCATCCACACAAATAAGCAAAGCCCCATCTGTAAGATGCAGGCAACACACAAAACCACGCACCCTTTGGTCCGCAGAAAAACCTCTTTCCACAGAACCGGTCTCTTGTGCCCAAAAGGTTGGGGACCTCTGTCATAAACCTTTATTTTAAGAATAGTGCTGTTGCATCTAATATAGACAAAGTTATTTTGAAATTTATTTTTAGATCACAGATGAGATTTGTAGTCAAAATAAATCTTCCTTCTTTTTCTGCTGCTTTTATTTGCGAGAATTTGGTGTCAATGAGAAAAGATTCTGCAATTTCTTTGGTAAAATGATCTTTTTAGCCTTTTTTCTTTTTCTTTAAAAATATGTTTCATAGTTCGAAACATATTTTTAATAAATGTGTTTCAATGTTCTCTAATTTTTATTGAGCCTAAAATTTCATTTTATGATTTTTGTATAATATAAAAGAATTTTGTGGTTCCAAAATTGTGGAATGTCTCAGTATATGAAACCTAGCAGTATATCTTCCATTACACTGGATGAGCTTTTCTCTATTCAGTACAGCATTTTGACCCCCATGCTGAATCCAATTATCTATAGTCTGAAAAATGAGGAAGTGAAGAAAGCACTTAGAAAAATATTTACAAAAAAGCAAATGCTAGATCAGTGGTTCTCAAACTTCCTAATGCTGAGACCCTTTAATTATTTTCATTGCTATTTCATAAATGTATGAATCGTAATGTAAATATCTGATATGCAGGATGTATTTTCATTGTTACAAACTGAACATAATTAAAGCATTATATGTAATTATATATTGTGAAATATTTATTTCTAATTACAAATAAATGAAATTTTGTCTTGAAGCATGGTATAGCATGGGTAACAGTCTTAATATAACAACAGTAAACTACATTGCTACATTTTGTGACAGTATGCATAAAAAGCCAATGTCAGTGCGAAGGTTGAGATTGCTTCTTTCTCACCAGATCAGAAATTCTCGGAGCAGTCTTTGCAAAGGCACAACTAAAATGGCATGAATGAGAAGTATACAAATCCGTATACTAAGTCAGAATATCAGCAAATAGCCCGAGCCTGCAAAGATGAAGTGAGGAAAGCTAAGGCTCAAAATGAACTAAGGCTTGCGACCAAAGTCAAAAATAACAAAAAAAAGCTTCTTTCAACATGTAAAAAACAAGAAAAAAGTGAAGGAAATAATTGGTCCATTAGTGCAGGGCTTTTCAACCTTTTCACCGATTGTACCACTTTTAGAATATGGCAACATTCGAGTACCAAAAGTCACCTAGTGAGGTGTCAAAAACATGATGACCAAAAAAAAAAAAAATGGAAAAAAGTGATAAAGTACAGGGAGTCCTTGACTTACAACAGTTTGCTTAGTGACTGTTCAAAGTTACAACAGCAGTGAAAAAGGTGACTTATGACCATTTTTTACACTTATGACCATTGCAGCATCCCCAAGGTCATGTGATTTACATTTAGATGCTTGGAAACTGATTCATATTTATGATGGTCACATTGTTCCAGGGTCACGGGATCCCCTTTTGCAATCTTCTGACAAGCAATGTTAATGGGGGAAACCAGATTCACTTAACAACCATGTCACTAATTTAATCTCTCTCTCCCTCTTTCTTTCTGTCCCCCCCTCTCTCTGTCTCCCTCTGTCTTTCTCTTTCTCCCTCTCCCTCTCTCCCCCTATTTCTCTCCCTCTCTCTTTCTTTTTCTCTCCCTGTCTCCTTTTCTTTCTCTCCCTCTCCCTCTCCCTTTCTTTCTCCCTCTTTCTCTCTCCCTCTATTTCTCTCCCTTTGTCCCTTTTTCTCTCCCTCTCTCTCTCTCCCTCCCTCTCCCTCTTTCACTGCCTCTCTCTCTCCCTCTATTTCTCTCTCCTCCCTCTCTCCCTTTCTTTCTCTCCCTTTCTTTCACTTCCTTTCTTTCTTTCTCTCTCTTTCTCTCTCTCTCCCTCTTTCTCTCCCTGTCTCCCTTTCTCTCTCCCTTTCTCCCTCTCCTCTTTCTCTCTCCTTTTTTCTCTTTCTCTCTCTCCCTGTCACTCTCTCTTTCTCTCTCTCTCCCTCTCTCTATTTCTCTTTCCCTCTTTCTCTCCCTCTCTCTATTTCTCTCTCTCTCTCTTCCTCTCAAAGATCCTTAAAATCCTTAAAAATTATGTTTGGGTGGAAGACTTTTTCTTTTACAGATGGGTGGTTGGCAGACAAGTACTCCAAAAAAAAAAAAAAAAAAAAAAGGAAAAAAAATGTGAGTAGCTATCTTGAAGTTTGAATGACTTCTTTCTCTTGCCACCAACTTCTAGGAGGAGTAAAAGTCATCCAGCACTGCAACCAGATGCCCTGGACTGGCCATTCCAGGGCTTCCTGCACCAGCTGACTTAGTTGTCTGCAACCTCCTGTTGTTGCTTGAGGAGGGAAGTTATGTTGGACCGTCAACTCTGTGTCAAGCCCTGTGGGCCCGATATTCGCAGGTGGGCACCGCCATCTCCCCATTGCCCTCCACACCGGCCGGCTCCATCGCCAGACCTCCCAGCTGACAAGCGCACATTCAGGGGGTTGCCAGCTGACGGGCGCAGAAGATCAGTACCACGGCAGCCTCCCAGCCACTTGCTTCTTTGGCTGGAGCAATTGCCAAGGCTTACATGGTTGCCGGCAGAAGGGAGCGCATCAGCAGCCATTAAGGATGCCAGCGGTTCTGTGTCACTGAGGCTTGAGGCATTGGATGTGGATCGGTGTGGTGCCATGGGAGGCGGCAGGAGAGGGAGGAGGGGTTACCTGCATCCTGCCGGCCGAACTCTGGAAGCCTGCCTGAATGAAGAATTTTAGGGGGAGTTGAAAGCGAGACAAGTTCCTAAGAACATTGGAAATATGTGTTTTCCGATGGTCTTAGGCAACCCCTGTTAAAGGGTCATTCGACCCCCAAAGGGGTCGTGACCCACAGGTTGAGAACCCCTGTGCTAGATGTGCAGGAATCCAAAAGTGAATTTCTCTTTGTTTGGAAAGCATGGTGGTCTCTCTCTCTCTCTCTCTCTCTCTCTCTCTCTACTCTCTCTCTCTCTCTCTTTCTCTCTCTCTCTCTCTTTTTTTTTTTTTTGCTCCATTCTGCATGGAAAAGATCTTCCCCTGAAAGAGAAACACAGTAACCTGGGTACACTCTCTTTGCATTGCCACTTTATCATATTAGAAAAAGTCTTTCCTAATATCCTTCTTTTTTGTTAGTATATTTGTACATTATTTAACCTCTATATTTCTTCTAAATGAAGTTACTAACATAACAACAAATTTGAATTTTTAATCACAATAAGTGGTAACCCAATGTCAATAGGATATAGTAACTTGGATTGAAACAGATACTCATCTTGTTCTTACGAAAAGAAAATTAATTATGATAGTTTCAATGCTTACTTACACATTTACTATAGAAAGGGTGACTAGATTTTATAGCCTGTTATCTGTCAATGAAACAATGGAACAGCTTGCCTCCCAAAATCATGGGTACTCCATCACTGGAGATTTTTAAGAAGAGACTAGACAGTCACTTGTCTGAGATGCTTGAGCAGAGGGCTGGACTAGAAGACCTCCAAGGTCCCTTCTAGCTCTATTATATTCTAATGTATACCTTAAACTGAGAAGTTATGTTCTCCATTGGTGATTGATATATCCTTTGAGCGACTGAAGTATTCAGAAATATGTTTAGTGTATTACTGCTTGCAATAATATTGCACTGCTTGAACAGAAATCATGTCAGCTTTTAGAAAATAAAGTTTAGTGTTCCTCATACATTTGTGTACCATCAACATCTCATTCTTTGCTAAATTTCTGTGAATCTCAATGGTAATTTTTATATAGCTGTAGTAATTTGTATTCACTGTGATTCATCGTGTTCCATATGATCTAGGATACTGAAAAGGCTATAATATTGATATAATATCATAAACTTTATTTTAAAGATGGTGCTGTTGTATCTAATATGGACAAAAGAAAGTTATGCTGAAATTTAGTTTTAGATCATAGATGAGGTTTGTAGTCAAAAAGAAGTCTTGTTTTTCCTGCTATTTTCCATTTTAGAGAATTTCATGTCAATGTGAAAAGATTCTGCAATTTATTTGGTAATAAAATCTTGTTAAACACCCTCATTTTGTTTTTCTTCAAAGACAGTTTGAAATATATTTTTCGAACATATGTTTCAGGGCTCTCCAATTTTTCATTGAAGCTCAAAATTAGTTTTATAATTCTTGTATGACATAAAATAACTTTGTGATGCCAAAATTAATTTTTGTCCATGATTTACAACCAAATTTAAAGAATGCACAGAATGAGGAATATACTGTGCTCTAGAATTTTTCTCAAGGATATTCTGTTGTAATTTGCTATGTTTTCTGCATTTATTTATTTGATTTTTTATTATATCTTTAATATTGCTCAATTCAAGGGACCACACATATTTAATGTACTTACCTCCTATTTTCCTCTCAATAACAAAAACTAACTGGGTGGAGCTGAGACAGAGAGAGAGATAGAGAGAAAGAGAGAATAGCTTGCTGAAAGTCATGCAGTTGGCTTTATGCTTGAAGAAAGAGTAGAACTCATAATATCCCAATTTCTAATGTCACTCCAGTTTTGTTGACTACTAGACAAAATGTTCACATATAGAAATATATTCATGTATTTGTTCTATTTGGCTTGTGTAATTATTGTATCTAAAATAATGAGTTAACATACAGTACTAAACTTTTAATTATTTCATTTTGTATTTCGTCTATAAAATGTGCAATAGTTTTTAGTGTTGATGTTTCTATTCTGTAAAAAAATTGCCATAATATCAAATGTTGCTGTTTCTGCCAAAATAAGGGAAATTTCATTATCATGTTTATATTTTTTGAATAATGCTCTGAACTATTTCCTCTGAATATTTCTTTGATATTCAATAAAGGAACCAAGTTCTAGTGATTTTTTTTCATCATTTGGAAGAATTCACAAGTAGTGTAAGTTAAAAATAAATTTCTTATTTCAGGTGCATAAGAGTGCCCTATTGTTCACAGGCACGTTTATCCATATTCTCATGTTGTTCTCTTGTAGAGAGGGCATTAGGTCTGCAGCTCTAAAGGACTGTGGTGGAAGGTTGATATCAACTGGAGTCAATTTTCTGGATGTAGCACTGAGGCATGGGCATGAACTTGATTGGGTTCAGGATTGGGACAATATATTCACCCTTCTCCTCCTTTATCTCTCAATGAGTTTCAGTACCTTTCATCATAGTATATTTCTGAACAAATCCAATGGGAGGTAATGGTTCTTCAACTGTTTCTTCCTTCCTCTGGGATATGTGTGTGTATGATGGAAGTGTGCTTTCTCTTCTATTGTATCTGTCCTTTGGTTTTTATTATTATTATTATTATTATTATTATTATTATTATTATTATTATTATTATTATTATTATTTGGGGGAGGTGTTGTTTCTATTTAGTTTCTTTTTTTCCTTTTTAAAGAAAAATAGTTTTTATCATTTTTTTAATTTCTTTTTTTCTTTTAAATATGAAGAATTAATGAGCTCTTTCTTGTAAAAACAACCACTGGAGGAATAAGCCTCTGATAATTATTGGCAAAGAGTTTTCATACCTCCTCGGAGATACCATTTTTGTAGGATTGAGGAATGCATACTCTATACAGAATGGATAATAATACATCAGGAGTAAATTCTGCCAATTGATTTTGTTCACTGAAAAGAAGGATAAATAAATGAACTTTAAGTAGAGGGTATTATGTAGTCCATATCTTCATGTTTATTTCAAGAGGTAAGGTAAATGTAATCCTTTTGCTCATTTTTTGCAAGTATATTTAAATAAAGTCTTCTACCTTGAAAAACCTTCATGATGCTGTGCATATAGCTTGAACTGTGAGCAATTCTAAATCTAACTACATTTTCACTTTATTTTTTGGTTACAATGAACTAACAGGAAAATGTTAATGCTTCAGAAAAGCTGTGCCTCTCAAAAGTTGATGGATCCAATGTATGTATTTTTTAAAAATGTCCCATTTTCACATAACATCTTTTTCATATTGAATCACTGGATGAATCAAGTACAGGCTCTCAAAATTTGCAGGAATTTCTAGGGCATGTTGTACACTTTGGACATTTTAGAAATAACTGTAAGCACTGAAAGCTAAAATAACACTCGGGGTATTTTATACTTTTAACTTTAAGAACCCAAATGAGGTTTAAATAAAATTCCATATTTTCCATGAATGCAGTTTGATAACTGACCTATAATATACTACAAGCAGAATATACTACTCATTTTGTTGTTAGACTTAAAATTTTATGTTAATATGTTGTCTAAGTTCTCTAAATGTTAACTCTGCATCTTAAGACTTCTGCCTATAAGTCAGAATTATCTATGATTTGATATAAATTATGGGTCAGACTCTTCGTTCAAAAGTTTAGTTGAATGCAATCTAATATTATTGAATAATTGATAACTTTAAATTATATGCAAAGTTAGCATTAATAGAAGTTAGACAATATGTTATATATCTATATTTTTGCTTTCAGCTCTCAACACATTCCATTAAGCTCATGCATCAACAGTTTGACCTCTTTTAGAATACATTTATTGCTCAGTATGAACCTGAGTGAATATGAGAAAGAATTGAAAGGAAAAAGATTTAATATCACCTAAGCTGAATTGTACTTTGTCCTATATCTCTACTTACATGTTTATTCTTATTTTACAGATGAATAAATAAAAATGGAGAACCAAACTGATTCATTGGTCTTCCTTTTTGTTGGATTTTCCAATGATCCTCAACTACAGATCTTTCTTTTCCTGATCTTTTCAATCATTTTTCTACTCACGATGTCAGGAAACATCACAATAATTTTGATCATTAGAATGGATCCTTCCCTCTCCACACCCATGTATTATTTCTTGTCTCATTTGTCCTTTGTTGATGTCTGTTACTGTACAGATATTGTTCCTAAGATGTTAGTGAACTTTCTTATGAAACATAACAAAATTTGCTTCACCAACTGTGTTATGCAAATGTTTTTCAGTCTTCTATTAAGTGTTACAGAAGTTTTTATACTCTCAGCAATGGCATATGATAGATACACTGCTGTTTGTCACCCACTTCATTACATAATGATCATGAATAAAGCATTATGTACTTATTTGGTTATTGGAGCATGGATAATGGGCTTGTTGTTTGCAATCATAAACACAGTTCCCATATTTGGTATACAGTTCTGTGGCCTTTCTGAAATTAAGCACTTCAGCTGTGAACTTCCACCATTATTGAAAGCATCTTGTTCTGACACTTTTCTTAATAATGGGATTCTTTTATTTTCTGTATTGGCTTTTGGACTTGGTTCCTTTTTACCAACTTTGATCTCCTATATTCACATTATCATCAGCATTATGAAGATCCATTCTGTAGAGGGCAGAAGAAAAATTTTCTCTACCTGCAGCTCTCATCTCATTGTTGTGGGTTTGCTATACATGACTGGAATGTCTCAATACATGAAAGCCAGCAGTGTATCTTCCATTACGCTGGATGAGCTTTTTTCTATTCAGTACAGCATTTTGACCCCCATGTTGAACCCAATTATCTATAGTCTGAAAAATAAGGAAGTGAAGAGGGCACTTAAAAGAATATTTACAAAAAGGTAGAATGCTAGAATTGTTTTTATGCCAGTGTTGCTTTATTTTGTAGACATTTTTATTGAGTTTATGTTAGAACTGCTGTAAATTATGTTCCTATATTATCATTGTTTCAAAAAGGTTTTGAGTTACTCATGAGAAACCTAAGCTTTGTTATTCTACTTTAGTGAGTTTAGGGCTTACATGTTAAACTTATTATTATTTCATGTGAACACTTTCATTATCACTGTCCATTCTATGTGTGTATAGATTTAAGTGTTTGTCAATTGGGCTTCTCTGTTTTGATGGCCATTTATTTTTCAAAGGATATCTTGCTTCCACTCAATGCATGTTTTTATCTCTTGATTAAAATTTGAAAAGTCTCAATTTATACCCTAAATATATAAAGTGCATTATCAACTGATAATTTATGACCTAATTCTTTAGCAAATTCATATGTATATTTTATGAGCTTGCCTGGATCTTTTTTATCCATTTTTCCCCCAATATGTTTTTAAGCTGGTAAAGATTAGTGAATTGCAAACTCAGAGTGTGAGGATGTTTCCATAGTGATAATTCTTTCTTTTGGGGACAATTCTAGCCATTTTTTTCCCTTTTTGGTATATTCTGAGAGATATTAAATAAATAAATAAATATTAATTATCCCTAAAAGAATGGCTACATATCTGCTGAAATACTTTCATCAGAATTTACTAGATTGAATAAATTATAGAATAAGAATATTTTCATGTGGGTATATTCATACTTTCAAAAGAACTATTATATCCTTTTGCCCTGATCATTTTGTTTCATCTACCCCACTATACATTGTCAGTTCCTTGCCATCTTCCCCTTATTTCTTAATTAACTGCTGATTTGATTCATAGATATGCTATTTCTTTTGATTTGTTAGACATATATTTAGTGACATTTACTAACATCAGTGGCATTTAGTGACATCAGTGACATTTTGTGACATAGACTTTCAAATGTTCAAACTGATAACAAGACATCTAGTAGTATAGCTTTTTTCCCCCTGAGTTCAAGATAAAATATGGAATTTAATCCTTGTTTTTAAGATAATTTATTGTATGGAATAGTGAGAATTCAATACAGGGTAGGTTATTTTATTTTTTATTCTGAAGTCCAAAAAGTAGGCTGCTTCTAAAATTTTCCATGGGCCGTGCTGCCTCTTTGCTTTGGAAATATTATTTGAATATAAATTATCCCCAATTTTTCAGTTTATGAAGTATGCAATGCTTTACCCATTCCCTTAGTACAGAGGTCCCCAACCTTTTCAGCACCAGGGGCTGGTTACATGGAGATAAGTTTTTCCCCAGAGCAGAGAGGGTGTGGTTTTGTTTGCTGCCTGTGGCTTTCCTTGTTTGTACAGACCTGTTGCTGGCATGCCATGGCCCACTACTAGTCCCCTTTGACCACAAGGCATAGAGGGAGGGGCCCTGACAGTGAATGTTCCATGTAGAACCTCCCCTATTTGGAAATAGTTAACCCACAAAGGAGGGCTCCACTCATGACCATCTGGAAGTAGGTGAAAACATTAAGAAGTTTAGTGTCATACTAAATGTTAAATTTTAATAATGATTTTGAATACAATTGTAGTTCTCACTCTGTAGTGGATAGCCCAATGTATTTTCTCTCCTCTTCAGCTGTTCTCTGTTTAGCTGAGAGTCACATCAAAGGGACAGATTGTTATCTGTTTCTAAGTGTCTTGTCAGTTTCTGAGCCAAAGCAGCTATAAATGTATACTCTAGTCCACCACTAGATGTCAGTAACTATTCATTTTCCAACTTTTAAAACAGAAAATTAGTTTCTTGTAGTTTCATCAATACTCTTTCAAAAGAAAGATCTTAACAATTTCCACAATTTCCAGGCTTATCCAGACTGTAGCTTTATATTAAATTCCATTTCAATATGTGTCTGTTCCCTGTAAAAATTAGAGCTGCTTCCTTCTGTGGTAGGTGAGACGATCCCCTTCTTTCTCACTTTCAGAGGATTTTTTCTTCTTGGGGATCTTTTCCAGGAAATCAGTTACAAGATAGAAGAGAAAAGATTTATATTCTCACCAAGTTTCAAACACACTGTTCACAGTCTGTTCTAGTTGGTGCTTTTGGATTTTGGCTGCAGGCACCTTGGTCTAGTCACTGAGGTGCAGCTAGCCTTTCTCCTGTCGGGTTGAAGGGCTTCCCCCAGATCAAACGGATCAACCTCCATCTTTCTGTGATCAATGGGGGGGCATCCTTCTTCAGTGCCTCTCCGGGGTAACTTTAGACCCATTTAGGGTCCCCTGGAAAGAACGAAATCAGCCGTGGAGTGCAAAGTCCTGCAATCGCTTAGCTGTGTTGCTACGATGCAAAACCAGAAGTCTCAAAATAAAATCTATTCCTATCACTGTAGGCATGTCCTTCATTAAATCTGTACATTGGTAATTTGAGACCTGATTCTTAAAGGACATCCTCTGCCCATTTTATGACCATGCTGAAGACTTTTAATCAATGTTTAAATGTTTTTGACAGTATTTTTCCCACATGATTCCTTATCAGTGATTATGGCTGATAGTGATGATGATGATGTAGTAATAGTTACCTGATGATAAAATACTTAAAAAGGCATGTTCATCATCTCTCAAAGAATGGCTACAGATATGCTGAAAGATTTACACCCGAATTTGTTATATTTAATACAAATGTATATTAAAAATACTTTCAGATTTTCCTCTCCCTATCCCTCTCTATCATCTCTATCTATCTGTCTATCATTCTGTCCCCCCATGTATATCAACCTCTATCTCTATTTCTATCTTTTTTTCAAAAGAACTACTATATGTCTTTCACTCATATTTTTAACTACAGTGCAGGTACATTTTTTGTAAAGAAACCAACTGGAACCATACTTTACTCTTTTAGAAAGTGTGTGCAATCCAAAATTTTCAGAAACATATTTCAAGCCCCACAATGTTTTTGAAATGGGGTCTGATGCCATGAGACCTAGCTGCACACATGCTCATGTTATACTGTGTCATCTACTAAAGGAGCTGCCAGTAAGTTCTCATATGCAATTAAATGTTCTGTTTTCTACTCATAAAACCCTTTATATCCTAGAGACTAAATATCTTAAAGACCATTTTTTACCAATTGTTTGAGTACAATCTACTTGAACAATTATGGAGTACATGGTAAGAGTCACCTTCTGTCACAAGGCATAGAGCAGGCATGTCAAACTGCTGGCCCATGGGCCAGATGCATCATGATGAAACCACGATGCATCATGATGAAACCGCGCCCACCCCATTGCCGGCAATGGAGAAAAAGTCACGATATATCGTGCGACGTCATGTGATATTGTGAATTTGACATGCCCTGACAGTGTATGTTCCATGTAGAACCTCCCCTATCTGGAAATAGTTAACCCATGAAGGATGGCTCCACTCATGACCATCTGGAAACAGGTGAAAACATTAAGAAGCTTAATGTCACACTAAATGTTAAATTTTAATAATGATTTTGAATACTTAAATTGCAAATATGATTATGGAAATTTTGCATTTTATTTTCTGAAATCTACAGTTTTACATTTACACTGTAAATTCTGTGAACCATTTAAAGTCTTGCAAGTGTCAAGCAGTAACCAAATTCTATTTTAAACAATTAGTGAATGAATGACATAGAATAAAATATTTTATTTTCCTGAAGCTTTATAATCAACTTGAAATAAAATCTGACATTCCATTTCATATTAAGTTCAAAAACACTGACATCTCAAAATAAATCTTTCTTACTGTATTTTTTATCCTAAGCGCATAACTCGGGGAGAAGATAAGCATTAAAGAACTTGAAACATAAACAGAACAAAAATGAAGAGTGAAACAGGATATAAAACTCACAGAATTGGAAGGTACTTGGAAATCTTCTAGCCCAACCCCCTGCTCAAGCAGGAGACTGTATACTATTTCAGACAAATAGTTGTCTAATCTCTTCTTAAAAACCTCCAGTGATGGAGGAGGAGGGGGGGAGAAGTAGTTTATTGCATGTTTGTAATATACTGCACCCAAAGAAAAGTCATGTCATATTTAAAATAAACTTCGTATGTTGCATGTGAATTTTCTAAGAACAGCATGATGTAAGTGCAGCTATGTTTGGAAGATGAAAGCTGAATTTATGAATTGTTGTGCTATTCATTATTTTAAGTGTGACAGCATATACTTCCTTCTAAAAAATTCTATATTTGCTACTAATTTAGTCAATAAGTACCATTTCCTGCCTTTACTGACAAGGACATCATTGTGTTATTCTGGTTTTCTAGTGACTTAGATGCATAAATACATTTAGCAATATTTTGCTAGATTTCAGAATCTCTCCCCCATCTTTCCAGCCATGGAGTTTTTTGGTCTCCTGTTCAAGTACTAGTTAATAAATGATGCTGGTGTTCAGAAAAGGAGTTGTTCAAAAGGAAGAAAATATATAAAGCCATGCTGATTAATGTATTAATGATGTCACCCAGAAAACAATCTTGGCAAAATATACTTAAAATTGAAATAGAAAACAGGTAAACTTTACAAAAAAGGACAGTTATAATGGAAACAACATAAAAACAATCTGGGTTGGTCAATGGGACCAGAAGTTATTTTTCCAAGCTTTCAAACTGTGCTGGAGCTCATCTTCAGGGAACTTCTAATCTCCAGGATATTTCCACACATCCTGGAGATTGAGAAGTTTCCTGAGAATGAGTTCCAGCATGGGTGTGGAAGCTTGGAAGAACAAGTCTCTTGTCCTGGTGGCTGACTCAGATTAGATCCTGCAAGATTATACTGGGACACATATATTTGCCTTCATTAGCATTAAACCATGGTTTTGGAATCCCCTAGATTTTAACCAGCTTAAATACAGTTTGGAGAAGAAACCTGCAAAAGAATAAGGTTGGCTAAATAAAATGGACATAGGGAGTCCTAAAAGAATTGTAGTTTATCAGATTGCAGTCATCTGCATTGTATACTTATATCTCCTGGATATAAATTGAAGAAACCAGACCATTTGAACTACCAATCAACAAGAGAACCAATCAGCTGCTCAGAATTTAAATATAACTCCAAACAAACAACCAATCGCACAACCAGCTGACCACACTGGCACACAAGACATTTATAAGCTAAGGAGAATAGGACAAGAAAATCCTTCTGCTGATGTTACCTAGTTTGATTAAAAAAAAAGCCTTCAGAAACTATATGAAACAAGCTTGGAGAGCAAACCACTGCTAAAATAAATTGAAACTTTCCAAATGTTAATGAACTTTATAAGCAGTAAAACCAAATTCTCTTTTCTTACCCTCTTCTTACCTCTTTACATATACAAACACAAAAATAAGCAGACTCATCTTTAAAGTATCCATATGTAACTAATGGGTACAATAAGTTAGATCACGTATTTATTTTTTGCTTAAACATTCCTTTAAGTGCTCTCTTCACTTCCTTATTTTTCAAACTATAGATAATTGGATTCAGCATTGGGGTCAAAATGTTATACTGAATAGAGATAATCTCATCCAGTATAATAGAAGAAACATTGCTGGGTTTCATGTACTGGGACATTCCTGTCATATACTGTAAACCTACCACAATGAGATGGGAACTGCATGTAGAAAAAGCTTTACTTCTGCTCTCTGCAGAATGGATCTTCATGATGGTGGAGATAATATGAACATAAGACACCAATATTGGTGAGAAGGAACCAAGTCCACACATAGCAGCAAAAGACAAAAGGATCACATTACTTAGAAAAGTGTCAGAACAGGATGCTTTCAATAATGGAGGAAGCTCACAGCTGAAGTGATTAATTTCACGAAGGCCACAGAAGTGTAACTTAAAAATGGGCACTGTGTTTATTGTTGCAGATAGCAAGCCTATTAGCCATGCTCCTAAAATCAAGTAAGTGCATATTGTTTTATTCATGATCATTATGTAATGAAGTGGGTGACACACTGCAGCGTATCTATCATATGCCATTGCTGACAGTAGGAAAATCTCTGTAACTCCTAGTAGAAGGGTGCAAAACATCTGTAAAATGCAGAAAGTGAAGGAAACAGTCCTTTGTTTCATAAGAAAATCCATTAACATTTTAGGAATAATATTAGTTGAGTAACACATATCAACAAAGGACAAATGAGATAAAAAATAATACATGGGTACAGAGAGAGAAGGGTCTATTCTGATTATTAGAATGATTGTGATGTTTCCTGACAGTGTGATGAGAAAAATGATTGAAAAGATCAAGAAGAACCAGTTCTGTAGTTGAGGATCACTGGAAAGTCCAAGCAAAATAAAATCAGTTTGGTTCTCCATTTCTGATTATTCATCTGTAAAACAAGAATAAACATGCAAGTAAATATATGGAACCAGTGTGGTATACCAGTTAAAGGCACCAGGCTAGAAATGGCACCCTATTAGTATCTGATGGATATTTCCTTATTGATCAGTCTACTTGTAAATAAAGAGGAACATTCAGGTGGTTTAACAATTGATCACTTCTTTCAGAAATCTGATTGTCATTGTGAAGATTCTTGAAGATAGAGGAAGATTGAAGGAAAGGAGGAAGAAAAAAAATGCACTTACCTTTTAAAACAAACTTTTAAGTATGAAGGGAGCACATACCCCAAAGTTAAAGCTCACTCATTTAGATGAGTGTTTAGTTAATCAAAACACTCTTTTTGTAAAAATGCCCACGTGGAAAGTATTCTGAGGATAATATTACCTGTTTTATATAAAGGTGATATCCTATCACCTTAAAAATATTTTTTTTTTCAGAAGGGAAAATACTGTCACTTGAAACTTCTTGCCAATAATTATCACAATTTAGTAATACACCTACTTCTCTAGCAATACCCCAACAAACCCTATTATAAGAAGCTACCTGTGTAGTAAAACATGACAAAACAAAGAGGAGGAGCTCTTCTCTGGGATGAAGGGAGTTTTGAGTATACTAAGACATTGCGTAGGGGACAATGAATCAACTCCTTTCATATCAGTCATACAAGGTGTACAAGATCAGTAGATTCCCAAAGGAGCAAATAGTTTACGGGATTTCTTGTGTGATCACACGGAGTTGTCAGGAGAAGAGGGGAACAATACCACTACATTTCATTCTCATAACTCATAATCTATTTTCTTTGGGAACTTGTGAGGAGAGGAATATTCTGAAGAAGAGGGTGATGTAATTGGATGACCTCGGGGAACAAGGAGAAGAGATGCTGCCTAGGAAGCAATCAGACAAGAGAGGAAGGAGCCCCCCTGTCTTAATGGTCAGAGAAAGAAACTGAGGAAGGATTTACCCTAATGAATCAAGCAGTTAAAAGTGGCAATGAGAAGTTTTTACTTTTAGACTTGTATGATTCTGTTACTGTAGCCTTAATATAAAGCAGAATTAGCTCATCTAGTCTTATTTCCTACCTGGTTTACCTAGAAAGACTGATAATATCAAACCCAGATTTGTGGATTTCCAAATTCATTTTATTTTTATAAAACTGTAGTGCAGTTTAAGCTTATATTTGTAAAAATGAATACAAACTACAAAATAAAAAATAAAAGAATAGAAAGAAAAAGTAAAACATGCAGAAAAAGGAAAGAATAGAAAAAAAAGTAAGAATAGAGAAAAAATAAAATAAATATTTAAAGAAGTGACTTCTAACCTTCATCACGTCAAATTTAAATTATTTCAGTAACTTAATTCCTTTTAATTTATAACCAATTGTTTCATGATCCCATGTCCCATTGCTTATCTATAAACAAATCCATAAAAAAATCCCATCGTTTCAAAATTGGTGTTAAAAATCCATTAAGGGTTGCCAGAAATAACAGCATAGCTATTTTAACCTTGATCAAATAAACCAAATTTATATTCCTTCATTTTGCTTAATGATTACTCTATTCAAGTAATCTCCTTCATGGATTACTGCCTTGTCATGGTGAAGGGGCTTGCATAACTCAATGAAGCTATGAGCTATGCTGTGCAGGGCCACCCAAGATGGACAGGTCATAGCGGAGAGATCTGACAAAATGTGATCCACTGGAGAAGGAAATGGCAAACTACTTCAGTATCTTTGCCATGAAAACCCCATGGACAGTAACAAAAGGCAAAAAGATATGATGCTGGAAGATGAGCCCCTCAGGTCAGAAGGTGTCCAATATGCTACTGGGAAAGAGCAGAGGGCTAGTACTAGCCCTCTGCTATTTCCTGGCAAATAGATGGAGAGGAAATGGAGGTAGTGACATATTTTATTTTCCTGGGCTCCAAGATCACCTCAGATGGGGACTGTAGCCAAGAACTTAAAAGACACTTGCTCCTGGGGAGGAAAGCTATGGAAAATCTAGACAGCATACTAAAAAGCAGAGACATCACCCTGCCAACAAAAGTGTGTATAATCAAGGCCATGGTTTTCCCATTTGCAATGTATGGATGTGAAAGTTGGACTATAAGAAAGGCTGAGAGACAAAGAATTGAGGCCTTTGAAATATGGTGCTGGAGAAGACTCCTGTGAGTCCTTGGAATGCAAGGCGTTCAAACCAGTCAATCCTAGAAGAGTTCTGCTCTTTAGAAGGCCAGATTCTGAAGTTGAAACTCAAGTACTTTGGCCACCTAATGAGAAGGAAGGACTCACTGGAGAAGGGCCTAATGCTGGGAAAGATTGAGGGCAATAGAAGAAGGGGACGACAGAGAATGAGGTGGCTGGATGGAGTCACTGAAACAGTAGGCATGAACTTAAATGGACTCCAGAAGATGGTAGAGGACAGGAAGACCTGGAGGAACGTTGTCCATGGGGTCACGATGGGTCAGACACGACTTCGCAATTAACAACAACAATTCAAGTAATGTCGTAGAACTTGATTTCTTTATACTTCTTTTTTATTCCTTACACAAGATTTATCCAATCTTTAACAAAACTCTTTTTGTATATAAAAGAATTTTATATACAACATAAAAGATAATATAAAAGAATTATCAAGTCACTCTGATTGCTTTATTATTCGTAATTCCCTTTTGATTTTTAAAGCATCAATCAATTTCTTTTGAATATCCAATAACATTTCTTTTTTCATGTCATTCTTGTAGCCTGATATTTGTAGGTCTATTTTCAGGATCAGCTTCTCTGTCTTATTAAATAAGACTTATTCCTCTTCTGCCAGTTCTTCTGAAACATCTTTCGGACAAAGTCTGTCCATAGAAGCAAACCTCACTATTGCCATTACTGACATTAACTTCTGGTTCCATTTTTCCCCAAAAGCATCCTTTAATATTTCCAATATTATAATAGTGGAATATTATAACATTTTGCATCTTCAATGTAAATTGCAAGTTATAACTGTTTATCTTTTTATGTCTTAGAAAATTAATAATAATAATAATAATAATAATAATAATAATAATAATAATAATAATAATAATGTTGGAAAGGACCTTGGAGATCATCTAGTTCATGGCAAGGATTCTTTACAATTAATTCAAAAATTTTATTTCAGATTTATCCAGACCTTTAATATGTTTATACATTTTAAAATGAAAGTCTTAATGAACTTTTTAATCTTAACAATTATAAAAGATACTATGCAAATTTAGTGTAATTTTAAAGATGCCAACTGCAGTTTGGAGCAAGATGGTATCCCCTTATTCTCAGTGTTCAAAATACTTTCTACACTGGAAACTGCTGTCTTGTAGTCTCTTTATGAGGAGTAACTGTCTGGAATATTTATGGGTAATCTCACATCCTCTCTTAGTCCAGACAGGTTTGAAGTATGCCTGGCTGAGGAATTCTGGGAGTTGAAGTACACAATTCATAAAAGGGCCAGGTTTGAAGACCCCTGGTCTAATCCAACACATTTGGAAGTTTATATTAAGTTATTAATGAAGAGGAACCCATACATATTTTGTATAGAGTATATATAGATAACTATCTGTTAAAAGTAGATAATAACATTATTTTAAATGGAAAATGGGAATTTTGAAAAAAAAAAGATAATTTTACTAATTCTAAATTGGAAAAATATAGAAACATATTGACTTAAAAACCTACCCTTTAAAATATATGTGGCTTATACATTAACAGGGTGGGGCTTTGAAGCCATCCTTTTCATTCCCCTTCCAGTGGGTGTCCCATCCTAAGCATGTACTGTACAAGCATACATATGACAGCATTAACATTTAGTATGCAACTTAGTGATGGTAACTAATCTGAAATAAAAAGATCTTAAAGAACTCTCCTTGATTCTAGATAGTTATATCAACTAATACCCCATCACAAATATTATTTTTTTTGGGGGGGGGGTAGTAAATGCTTGAAATGTATTTCTTGTACCAATCTATATTGATTGGGGATTGATTCAATGTAAAATGTTTTCTCAAGCTAAATTATAGAATACTTTTTCCTGATAAAATGTGTGAATAATTAAATATATGAATTATAATAATAAATCTAATAGCACTCATACAGATTAGAAAAAACATATTAACTTCTTAAAGATAGACTGAGTGTTTGATAATAAATTTTCTAATAAGTATAAAAAACTTTATCTTACCAGAAAAGGATATTTCCTGATAAATATGTGGGATGGTATACCTCTATTCTGCTTGTTATGCTCATAATATACTTTCTTTGATAAGCCTGCAGTCTACTTTGGATTAAGTTATTGTTACCCCAATTTTACTAACTACTTCTTAAATTCATAAAATAATTCATAAAATTATGCAGTACTTGCTGAATTTTTTGCAAATTTCAGGAAAATGTCAGGAAGACTCAAAGACATTAGGACATCATATAATAATTTTTTACAAGGCTATGACACTTCGAAGACACCTAACAGTTTTAATGCATGTTTTAATGCATTATCCCAACCAGTTATATACATTTGAATATAGCTGGGAATTTGCAGTGTTATAATCCAATACAGGTGGAAAATATATATATATATATTGAGGAGGGGGAGCTAATTCATTAATCCTTTTCTAATGCAGCTTTGTTTCATTGTGAGTCCATGTTTCCTACTAATAACTCTCTTCAAGGCTTTTTTGACTTCTTTGTATCTCAGGCAGTAAATGATAGGGCTCAGCATGGGAGTGACCACTGTGTAAAACACAGATATTATCTTGTTGAAGATCACTGAACTGTTCAAAGTTTTTGAGGTTGGACGCACATACATGAACATCAGTGTGCCATAAAAAATAGCGACTACAGCCAGATGGGATCCACAAGTAGAAAAAGCCTTTCCCCGGCCTGTAGTTGAGGGGATTTTCAGAATAGTGACAATTATGAGAATATAAGAGACCAAAATTAGGGAAAATGAACTAACAATGACACTAGTAGCTACAATGAAGTTGAACAATTCAGTTTCATGAGGATTTACACAAGATAGTTTCAGTAAAGGTGATGAGAAATGGTTGATCTCATTTGGTCCACAAAATGGCAACCTAGAAAGAGCCACCAATGGGGGAATATTAATTAAGAAGGCACCAATCCAAGAACATGCAGCCATTTGATGGCAAATATTGTTATTCATCAGGTTTTGATACCGTAGAGGATTACATATAGATAAATAGCGATCAAATGCCATAATTGCCACAATAAAACATTCAGCTATACCAAATGAAATTAAAAAGTATAGTTGGGCAATGCAGCCAGTATAAGTGATATATTTGTTTTTTGTTAGGAATACTTCTAGCATTTTGGGTATAATATTGGATGTGTACCATATTTCTAAGAAGGAGAAGTTGCTGAGAAAAAAGTACATGGGGATATGGAGATGTCGGTCAATGTAGACTATGCTGATAATGATGAGGTGTCCATTTAAAGTCAAGACATAAATGAACAGTCCAACAAAGAAGAGGAGAAACTGAAAGTTCTTCAGACTAGGAAAGCCCGAAATGATAAAATGGATTACTATGATTTTATTGCTAATGATCATATTTTTCAACTAATGGAATATTAAAAGAAGGAAAACAAAACCACAAATATAAGATAGGAGAATATGACAACAGATCAAAATGGAACTATTCCAACATTTCTTTGCCTTTAAATTGTGGTCACTGTGTGAACTGAAGTAAATTTATACTTTAAAAATGATCATTTGCTTTTAAACAGATTGCTGTAATACTAAGAGGGTAGAAAATGAGTCAGCATGAGGAATGAGGAATAAAGTATAAAACAGCTTTCTTAGTGAGAGAGAGAAATATTGCAAGTTCTATTTAAATCTCCATGAGAGTTGAAGTGTCTACCAAGATTTTCTATAGCTCTAAAGAACTAATTAACAAAAATAGAAGAGGGTTTTTTTTATAATTTAGGAAATTATTTGCCCCTTTATCCTTTATTATATTAAATGCAGCAAGCAAGAACCCAGTGCAAACAGGATTTTCATTCCAACTGAGGAAGTCCAGTGACATACACACACACACACACACACACACACACACACACACAGAGAGAGAGAGAGAGAGAGAGAGAGAGAGAGAGAGAGAGAGAGAGAGAGAGAGAGAGAGAGAGTTATATAAGCACACAAATCTTTATTTTTTTTTTCTGAAATGCAAACTCCCAGATATCTTAAATTTTGGAAATCAATCCTTTGTTGTCACAAACTGAACAGGGCAAAAGTTCTCTTTACCACTTTAATTTATACAAGTGTCTATATAAATATGGATAGTTTGATTTTTGTTTATAAGTTATTAAATAATATGCTATGAATCAAGCATAGCAATATTCTGGTTCATATACTGATAACATCATTGACATCTCTCCAGAAATCTACATTATTACATGTAAACGTATTAGTATTATTGCTTTAACATTGTCCATTTTTTGTACTGACATCAGCTATTCGTAATTGGTGTTGAAAGTATTTCTCACTACTAGCTACTTTACATAATAGTATAGGTAGTCATGATAGGAACTGATTTTTTTTCTTAAAACTCTTTTGCTTATGGATAATATCTTTTTTGAGTGGCATGTAACAATTTCCACATAGCTGACAAAATAATTATTAATCAAGGGAATTCTTAATAAGAAAGTGATTACAAGTCTTTATAGTAGTTAATTTATAATTCCCTCTTGGTCCATTAAATATTTCTGGGAGAAATGTAAGATTTCTTGACTTGTAGTTACTTTTTTGTTATCATAAAAATTGTTGAAGGAAACAATATTTTAATGAAACTATGAATAAGCTTCAATAAGTGATCACAAGTATATGAGTATCTTGTTGACAACACATATACTAATGAGTACAAGAAAAGTTGTACTTGAAAATATATGCTTCCTAAGATTACATTAGATTGTTAGACTTTATTTTACAAAAGAGGCAATTAGCTATTTCAAATACAGAAAATCACACCATGTTTTAAGTAAGCATTTAGAGAAAGACCAGAAATTACACTGAAAACCAATCTATAAATAATTCTAGTTAGGTCTTTAAATGAAATGTTATCTGCTAGTATTGTAAAATAAGAGCAATTTGCAGGTGTTTTCTAGAAAAAATAAGTGTGTTTTAGTCCTTCTAATCTCCATATTAGAAAGAAAATATTTTCTTCAGATTTTTCAATTATGTATGCTGCAGGCACATTGTTTTAAATGTCAGAGGATTTGAACCTCTAGTTTGAATCCTTTGCTTTAAATCTGAAGAAGCAGGGAAATGAATACAGCTATCAAAAAACTACTAAGATACAAAATGTTGATTTTCAATGTAATGTTAAAGAAAAGGAAAATGAAACATTTTCAAAATAAAATCTTTATTCATAGTTTTGTTCTGATGATCATGATGACAAAAATGATAATGATGATGATGATTTTAGTGGATTTATGGTTAAAAACCAAAACCTACAAACTAAGAAAAACAGACATTACCAGCAATAAATTTTACAATATATATTTTGGGGAGGCAGAATTAATTTATTATTCTTTTTTTAATGCAGCTTGGTTCCATTGTGACTCCATGCTTCCCACTAATAGCTTTCTTTAAGACATCTTTGACTTCTTTATTTCTCAGGCAGTAAATGATAGGGTTCAGCATAGGAGTGACCACTGTGTAAAACACAGATACTGTCTTGTTAAAGTTCACTGAACTGTTGGAAGTTTTTGAGGTTGGATGGACATACATGAACATCAGTGTGCCATAAAAAATAGTGACTATAGCCAGATGGGATCCACAAGTAGAAAAAGCCTTTTCCCAGCCTGTAGTTGAGGGGATTTTCAGAACAGTGACAATTATAAGGATGTAAGAAACCAAAATTAAGGAAAATGAATTAACAATGACACTAGTAGCCACAATGAAGTTGAACAATTCAGCTTCATGAGGATCTACACAAGAGTGACACATCACAGAAGAAATGGTTGATCTCATTTGGTCCACAAAATGGCAGCCTACAGAGGGCCACCAGTGGAGGTATGTTAATTATAAAGGCACCAATCCAAGAACATGCAGCCATTTGATGACAATTTTTGTTATTCATAAGATTTTGATACCGTAGAGGATTACATATGGCTAAATAGCGATCAAATGCCATGATTGCCAGAATAAAACATTCAGCTGTGCCAAATGAAATGAAAAAGTAGAGTTGGGCAATGCAGCTAGTATATGTGATATATTTGTTTTTTGTTAGGAATACTTCTAGCATTTTGGGGATAATATTGGATGTGTACCATATTTCTAAGAAGGAGAAGTTTCTGAGGAAAAAGTACATGGGGGTATGAAGACGTCGGTCAATGTAGACTATGCTGATAATGATGAGGTGTCCAATCAAAGTCAAAAACATAAATGAACAACCCAACAAAGAAGAGGAGAAACTGAAGGTTTTTCAGACTGGGAAAGCCCAAAATGATGAAATGGGTTACTACGGTTTTATTGCTAATTATCATATTTTTGACCTGTAGAGGAAAAAGTAGAAGAAAAAGGAAACTATAAAAAACAAAATAAGATAATATAACAACAACAAATCAAAATCCAACAATGCGAATATCTCTTTGTCATTAAATTTTGGCCACTTTGTGACTGAAGTGATCAAGTATTGTGTTTATAGTAAAAATATAGTCATTTACTTTCAAACAGATTGCTGAAATGTTAGAGAGGAGAGTAATAATGAGTCAACAGCAGGAATGAGGGATAAAGTATAAAGCAGCTTTTTTAAGAGAGAGAAAGTAGATAGATTATCATTATAATCATTATTATTATTGGTGATCAGATGCTCACTTACAAGGTTGGATTTTGAATTACTTTTTTCCTATAGATCACCCAACGAATTTTGGATTTCAAAAGTCTTAGAATCTTGAAGAGCAAATTTTAAAGATCTTAAGATGTTACAAGATGAGGACAAAATTGTTTTCTCAGTTCTATAAGTGGAATGATATCTAAAATTTGAGCATTGGATTCTGTCTTCTTCTGTCATTTTACGTGACAGAAAAAATATTCAATTATGCAATTCTACAATCTATATAATTCAACTCTAAAATTCAGATACAATTATGGTCTAGATGAAATTAACTTCTGAATCATAAATTCTAGAGAAGTGTCTGTTTTTTCAAAGACTTCTAAAAATGAAGCAGTTTAAGAGATACCTAGAAGAACGATAGAGAAAAAGAAGAAATGTGATTGTTTTGCACTTATGTGTAACTGTGTTGTGTGGTCCCTGGGTCCCTGGTTTAATGTCTACATATTAAAATAATTAATAGAAAAAAATAAAATTTACATTTTTATGCATCATATAATTTATACAGTTATAAAATGTAATTTGCCACATAGCAGACATGTCTGTCTAATCAGTACCACTTATCCCATTTGTCTGTTAAATTAAGTATTTATCAATAATATTACCTTATATTTAGTATTTATCAATAATATTACCTTATCAAAAGCTTTGGCATTCTATATTAATCCAGCTTAACCAGGCATATAATTGTAACAAGAATGAGATGTCATTTGTCAACTGCAGCAGAATATTTTAATGAAAGAAAATGCTATACTTGAAGGAGATTTTCCACCTTGGAAAATACTATAATGATTGAAAATAAGAAATAAAAATCTAGATGATGTTTGGGGAACCTACTAGAGTTAAGATCTTTCACAAGTTATTCATCAGGTTTTGAAGGCGAAATGTCACTGGTTGTAGGAAATTTACCAGTAGGCTGAGCCTACTGATCAGAGTTTGGAGGTAAAGGATGATTCAAAGAAACAGAGGATGACCCATGCTGTGTATAGACGTAAAGAAAAGGAGCAAAAGCCAAAAGCTAATTCTGGACCAATGACATAAGGCCCGATTACTACAGAGCCTGTGGGAGGAGCATGACGGAAGACATCAACGTCTGATCTTCAAGTAGTGTTCCAAAGGCTAAAGGCCACTAAGGATGGCAAAGCTTTTGACATGGAATGTTAATGGCCTGAATTCACCACAGAAAAGAAAGAAAGTATTTCACTACTTGAAACAACATAAAAATGACATTGTTTGTTTCCAGGAGACTCATATTGTTGTGAAAGATCAAAACTACTTGATTAATTCTCAGTTTGGATCACATTTTATAGCTTCTGCCCCAGATAAAAAGGGGGGGAGTGGTTATTTATGTAAGAAGAGATTTATTGGGTAGATTAATTGAAGCTGATATACAAGGAAGATATGTTATCATTGAACTAATGCTACAAGGCAAGAAAGTTCTTATTATTGGATTATATTCCCCTAATCAACAAGAAAAAAGTTTTATAAGTTTTTACATCATAAACTAACTCAATTGGATTATAAATCTGTTATTATGATGGGTGATTGGAATGGAGTTTTGGATTCAAGTAAAGACAAGGAGGGATCTTTCAAAAATTCTCCTAATTATTCTAAATTACCTAAAGCCTTTTTTGATTTGAAAGATGATCTGGAATTTAGGGATATTTGGCGAGAACGGAATGTGGAAGATAGAGACTTTACTTTTTTTCGGATAGGC